CAAGAAAAGTGACTGGGGGAAGAAGCACTGGACATAAAAGCAGCTGGTTCTTCCAAGTATCCTGAGTTTCATTTAAAAATAAAGGTCCTGTTGAGGAACACTTGAGCATATTAGTAAAGTTTAGTAATATGAATCCTTGTTTTTCATTTCTGGTGGCAGAAAGAACTGATTTCAAGCACTTGAAGTGAAAAGTTGTAAAGAAGTCTTGAAAAATTGGAGAAAGTTGCAAAATAAGCTGGAGAGAATATTTTTCCTCCCATTACCTCAAAGAATCCCTTTTCATGAAAAGATATTGAATGTTTAAAGGCAGTAAATGACTAGTAAGAATGAAACTTTGCAATTCCCAAAGCAAGACTATAATGAGTGCTTTTAAATACTTAGAGGTATTATGTAGCTGTCAAAGCTGCTAAACTTTAAGACTAAAAGAAAAAAAAAAAAAGTAGATAAATATTGTGCAGTGAATAAAAGTATAATCAGACTCAATGGGGTGAAAAAATGCTCACTGGCAGTTTAAGCTTCTCAGCACTGCAGACCAAGAATTTTGCTGTTCTAAAGAGCAAGAGCCTAGACAGGACTGAGGTGTCTGAACAAAGGGAGGGGTCAATGCTAAAGAAATGGCCAGGGATTAATGCCATTACAGAACTGAAGGAATGGAGACAGAATTCTCTTTATGGACCAAGTTCAGAAATAGCCACAGGTCTATACAGTCCCCAGCAGCAGGAATGCAGATTTTCAGAATGCCAGCACTGGGACAAGAGATCCTGGGAAACACAGTACTGTACATCTCTGTCAGCCTGCTCCCCTTTCCCTGAGCTGGCTGTGAGTAGATTTAATCCTATAACTCTCTAGGGTATTTCAGATACTCCTACACCTTATATGAGAACTGATTAAAAGGGCCATGTTGCGGGTCTCTACATTCATTTCCAGTTTCTGTCTACAAGAACTGGCGCACCCAGGCACATACTCAGGAACACTAAACTAGGCTGGAATATTCCACTGAACTTTTGATGCTTCCTCTCACCTTGCATCTTGAAAAGGTAACATTTATTCAAGAGGCTTTGTTCTTGCCCACATCTGTATGAAGATAAGTAATCATAGTAGCCAGAGTTCTGCCATGTTACTTGTCCTGGGAAATGTACACATGGTCACTAGGGAATGCAGGGCCTCAGCCAGATCTGACAGTCTGTGGTGCTGGAATTCATTTTCTTCCACACTTGTGCTGTGTACAGCCCAGTGGAATTTTTTACTGATACTTTCTCTCTGACTACAGAGCTTACTTCAGCTTCAGTTGCTGCCATGAATCTTACTTGAGCTGTACCTGGAAATAGATAAAAATCAGCATATCTATCCTGTTGGAAATCTTCCTATTAGAGTTTTCAGCCAGAAGGGGGACAAAATTTGTCAACTGGTTTAGTTGTCAGTTTTATTTGCAGAACCATGGGCATTGTCTCTGGCTCTACTGCAACCAGCCTGATTCTGTGTCCTTCCTTTATCATACACTCACTCAGAACAAGCTACATGAGCACACTTGGGAGAAAAAGCTGGCATGAGACACAGCTGGTTACTCATGAATGCTTTGTAGAATGAAAAATAGAAATTAAGCAGATACTCAGGTTCACCTGACTTTAAACCATGAAAGCTAATGAACTTACACACCACTACACCATGGGTGCTGTGTTTGGCTAGAAAAACACCTGACAGATCTCCATTTATTAAAAATGTGAAGGTCAAAAGAAAAAACAAGAACATTCACCTTGTAGTCAGCTGAATTAAATAAAAAACCTAAACCACAGGAGTCATTAAGGATGGTTTCTGTTTGTGAATGGTTGCAGTCTGAAAATGTTAGCTTCTGAGGATTTTTGAATAAAAATCATCTGGTAAGTCCAGTTCACCCATGATCTTTCTTTGACACTTGGAAAATTAATAGACTTTTCTTACTGAGCAATGAGGAAATGGAAAACAAATACTATGTTACTTTTGAGCTGGTGTATTTTCCAGGAGCTGAGCGAAATTCATCACCTCCCATCATGTAAAGTTTCCACATAGAGCAAAATCTTTTCAGTTCAGATTTTTACCTATTGAGTATTACCACTCATCTGGCTTTAGAACTTATATCAAAATGTTTATGTTGGGTTTTCAATTCTTCTTTAGGTGGGGAAAGTTAAATATGTATTGAAGAGGATATATAGAATGTGTACACTAAGTAGGTAGATGTGGAATAAAATAGGTGGGGAGTTGTATCTGGAAATCCACTATTTTCCTAGATTCATCTTTCACTCACCAGACTCAGGGGTATTGCACCGATGGCATGCACAGGGAAAATCTAAGTGGAGAACTGTGATAGAAAAACATTCAGGTTTTAAACCTTTAATAAACTGAGGTACTGATAGGTCTCAAAATATAAGGGGTAATAAAACTTCAGTTTATGAAATCTCCTAACAGAATTCAATGTCTTTGGGGCAGGAATGTTTAGGCAGGAAGGCAGAGATTTCACTAGCTTGGTGAAATCATTATGTACATTATGTACCTACACACAGGTTCAAAAACTAACTAAATTCCATTAGGTTTAATTTAAACTAGGTGAAAGCTGCTGAGTGCCATTGAGAATCTGAATCCTTAATTTTATTTAAAGTGAATCTTAGACACTTTTGGATTCAGAGAATTAATGACTATAAATCTGGGCTGAGTTCCAAGATCCAGAAAGGTCAGAAAAAAAATATATATATATGTATATATAAATACACACACACACACACACACACATATATATATATACTATTCCCTTTAGATTTCCATTCCCCAAAGGATGTTTTATCCTGTTTGATGGAAACAGAATATTAAAGCTGTTATTTAACTTTGTACTGTCAGTGAGTAAAAATTTGGTGAAATAAAAATAGTGTCTATATCTCATACAAGAACTGGTGCTTTGAAAAAAATTAGGGCACACTAAACAATCTTATATCTCATTAAGAGAAAAATACTGCACATTATTTTATGGAGATTTATTTTTTTAAATCCTCTTTTAGTCCTTTCTATCAAGACCAGGATAAATCAGAACACGTGCATGTAAGTTTGTATGTATTCACAGGAGCCAGAAGCGTGTCCTTGGAGTATAGAAGGCAAAGGAAAACCTGGGCTGTGTTCAGGAAAATGTAGTCAGCAGGTTGAAGGAGTCAATGCTGCCCCACTTCTCAGCCCTGGTGGGGTGCATGTGGAGTGCTGTGCCCAGTTCTGTGCTCCTCAGTGCAAGAGGAGACACTGGAGGGAATGTGGTGAAAGCTGGCAGAAGTGATTCAGGGCTGGAGAACCCCTCCTGTGAGGAAAGGCAGAGAGGGCTGGGGCTGTTCATCCTGGAGAAGAGAGGCCTCTGGGGAGATCTCATGTTTGTGTGCAGATACCTGGAGGAGGATGCAAAGACAGAGCCAGGCTCTTCTCAGGGATACCCAGAGACAGCACCAGAGGCAATGGACACAAACTGAAACACTGGAGGCTCTGTATGAGCATCAGGAAAGACTTTTCCATTGGGAGGATGACTGAGCTGGGGCACAGATTGCTCAGGGAGATGGTGGAATCTCTGTCTTCAGAGGTACTCAAAAGCCATCTGGATGTGATCCTAATCAACTGGCTGTGGGAAGCCCTGCTTGAAAAAGAGAATGGTAAAAGACAATTGTAATTCCAACCTCAATCTTTTGTGTTGATGTGATAAATATATATATATATATATATATATATATATATATTTATATGTAGAGGGGTTGAGGGGTTGTGTGTGTGTATGTATGTGCAGACACAATTAACATTAACAAGCATATATCACAATTCACCTAAGTGAAAATATATAAGGATATACATATTTGTATCTCAGACATATCTATATTGTAGATATACAGAATAGGCTAACAGAAGTACATATTTACAGATTCACATTATATTTATTGTTCCATCTCTATCTATTTAGATATATATGAATTATACTATTTTCTCCCATTTACATTTTGAAATGGATGGCAGTTTTCTAAGGGAATTATAATAAAAATATACAAATTGTATACAACTGGTTGGGTTCTATTCGTATTTTATATGCAGATACTAAATATTAAGCAATTATAAACCATGCCCATATTTCAAACAGGAACATATTCTAGCCAAGCTAATGAATAAAGAAATAGAATATTATGAATATGTCACATATAACAGCTGCATCTTATATTTGTTGCCAGTTCTGTCTGAGGTGTGGTTGCCTGGGAGATACCACTCTGACAGTGTGAGGCCTTTCACATTTTCATGGACAAATATCTGCAAATCACCTCTCTTGAGTTTTTGTTGTTCTTTTTTTCCCCATCCCCTGCATATTGGCCTGAACTTTTGCCCATGATTATATCTGATTCAGTTGTGTAGAGTTTGATCTTGTTTTGTATACACTACCCAGAAAAACTGTTTCTCCATTTAACTACCTAGAAATTTGAAATTAATTTTTTGTTCCTCTATTAAGAAAAATGCCATCCTGTGAAATTGATTTTTTTCCCCACAGAAATAAAATTACCCACTAGTGATAATTTTAGCAAAATATGCTTTTCTTATTTCTAATTGCTCCTTTCAAAATTAACAATAATCTTTGGTAGTTAGAAGGTAATCAGTTTTACTGGATCTCCTATCCTTCTCTAAGGAAAGGAAAAGGAACAAATATATACGAGAAAATCTGCTTTTGATTGACTTAATCTAAATTCTGAGCAGATAACTTCAGTGAATTCTTTTAGAAGCATGCACTTTATCTGATGTACGTCTATTATGAAGGACCTCACTTCCAGCCCTCGTAATGAGGTACCTACTTTGCTATGTCTGTCATTTGATTTGCTTGCTCCTTTCACCTGTTAATAAATATTCAGATAAATGCTTCATCAAAAGGAAGAGGGCCTTTGACTTAAATAAAAATATTGGTCCATTTTATAAAAGAAAATTTGTATTTGTACTGCATGGATTAGAAAATACGCACAACTATGTAAGTTTAATGTAGTCATTTATTTCAAGCCAGACATTCATTTATTAGACATCATTATATTCATCTGCTCCTAATTCACAAGTTAATTGCAAGTTTAAATGGTACCCATTTTTCAGAAAAACTCCCACATCTTCAGGGCTCATGTATTGTTAATGAGTTTTCTCTTTGGAGATTTCCTGTCCAATCTCTTGCCACAGAGCATTTTCATACTTTAAATTGCAAGTTTATTTAGCTTCCTTTTATCAACTTTTCTCTCAAAAAAAGTTCAAACTGAAGCAGCAAAGGAAATAAAACTAGTATAATGAAGCCTAGATAATGTAAATGCATCCTTATTCCAATCATGAAAGCCAAAAATGGCAAGCCTATGGATAACCACTCCCTTTTGTATGAAAGGAAATAATTAGAAAAATGTTTGGTGTTGTACAAAGCTCCTAATTTTATTTCACGTATATTTTTGAATGAACTATAAAAGATATATTGAGGTTTATGTAATATAATGTTTTACTCAGGATCTCCACCAGCATCTTCCTACCCTCCAGGACTATATGAAGTTCATCATAAGAAATATAATTGTTTTTGTATTCAGGGTTTGGATAATAAGTATTAGCAATACTACTTAGAATGGGTCTTCTCCTTGTCAGACTACAACATATAAAACTATAAAATGTTGAACTTTTGGGACTGTTTTAATCTTTTTTTATAGGCTGAATACTGTGTTTTCCTGTACATCTTCATTTCACAAAAAGAAAAATGTGTCTGGAAGTGCTGATGACTTCAGCAGAGAAGGTGTTCACCTATTGCTTTTTTACATACTCTATTTGATTATTTAATTACTTTTTTTTTCATGTTGCATTTAGCTGTCAGGATCATTTACTTCTAATAAATGTTAGGCCAGTTAAATAGTTTGTCAGATAAAGAAATTGCACCTATTCATTTTGTCTTGAGAGATTTTTTTGATGGCCTTTTGTACTGATATTCTGGCAGTTTATGAAACATGTTATTACTGGATTCTTTGATTGATTGGTGTACAGTAAATATACATTCAAAAGTGAGATGAAGGACATGGTATGCCTAAGGCTGGGGAACAGCAAATTTAGGAGTGCAGGAAAGAATGTCAAATTTTATGAAGGATTAAGATGAAAAAACTTAGGGAATATGACTAGTACCTCCAAGTAAACAAGGCAGAAACCTCATGTGAAATAACAGTTCTGTGAGAACTGTATGCCACATTATTTCTAAGCTTTTATCACTAAAAAAACAAACCTCTAGAATTCTATGATAGCTTCCCAAAGAATTTAACTAAGAAACAAATCAGTTATTTAGATTTACTATTTAATTAATCTTCAGAATTTAGGTCAAAAATTCAGATGGAGGAGCATGGAATGGATTTAGTCCATCCAAATTAGGCACCTCACAAATCTGATTTCAATATACCTTTCCTTTTCTTCAGTCCCTCAACAAGGGCAACAAGGGCAGAAAGATGTGGATCTAGAAGGTAGGTAGTCTATTCCATCTGTAAAGAAATTTCCATCATCCATAAAGGAGGATACTTCTTTAGTTGCCTTGAACCTACTGATGTTCACCTTACTGGTTCTTTAATAATTGCAGGCTACCCAGTCAAAGTAAGCAGTTACTTCTGTTTTGAATGCATCAGGGCTCATATTTAGAATTGTTTATACAATTTTCAGTTGGCCAATTTTCCATAATTTCTATATTATCAATTTAACTTTAAGTGGTGCATAAAAAATTGTATGAGTCTGTTTTTAGTGGAAACTGATGAATTTATAAGCTGGTGAGTGGCAAAAATAATTTTTTCACATTTTCGATCGTTTCAAAATTGCAGTTGCTTTCCAGCTGAAGTACTGACAGGTCTATCAAAAACACACCTGGGCCAGATTCACAAAATATTTTTGGGCTGAACTGCATAGTGGCCAGAATATAGGTATCTAAGCCAAAATCAGGAGGCCGCAAGATCCTTTTCCAGAATTTACCTTAAGCCACATGAGGTTCACTTGCTCTTGAATGCTCTGGGCATAGAGAAGGGATGCAGACAATAAGAGGCAGATGGAAATTCACTGATTAGTCCTCTTAAGGTATCTTGATCTCATCTGCAAAAAGCTGAAGTTTGAGAAGTATAAAGTGCCTTAACATGGAATACTTCCACTCATCACAAAAGCAGAAAATTTTGCAAATATATTTATTTATATTAAGGCACAGTATAAGCAACATTAAATTACTTGGTTTGCTTTTGTTCATAACACTTTGGAGCTCAGCCCTGTGCAAAGTGATCTGTTAGGGTGATGGAGAATAACTGCATAATTTTAAAGGACTTTTGAATCTTCAGAAGTCTCTAATTTACTTATTAGATAAATGGAACCAACCCATGGATCTCGGTCTCGTAGGATGGAAGAGAACTCCAGAGACCATGTTGCAGAACACAAGCTTAATCTATTGGCCCATACCAGGTGAGTCAGGTGGACTGAATTCTAATAAGCCAGGCTTAAATCTCTAGTCAGTGTCATAGATGCATGGATTTACTCTTCATGGAGAAAAGGGTTGGTGGGAGTAATGCAGCAATTCAGGCTCCAGTAGTGTGTGCTGTGTTCCCCACAGTGTGTGGCATAAGCTGTGGCATTATCTGTGCTAGTTTCCTTCTTGAATGAATCCTGTTTGATTAAATGGCCATTCAGGTATTAGGCACTGCTTTGTTCTCATCTGGCTGGGCTTTCTTTCCAGTGAGTCACCATCCATGGTTGAGACACCTGCTCAAAAAGAAAGATAAAAGTAACTATAGTGTCAGTCTGTGTTGTAAAATAATTGTTGTGTGAAATTACTTCTGGTCATTTACACTGGATATGAGAATTTCATTCAGTTGCATGTTGGAAGATGTTAAGAAGGAATCATATAAAATAGTTTGAACTGAAAAAAAGGAAAAATTAGTTACCTTTTGGTTAGCTGTAATCAGATCACAGGTTTTTAAATTCAGAATGTTATTTTTTTCTGTTGTTGGTAGAAAATAAATCTTGATCAGGGAAGAAAAGCATCTTTTAACAAGAGGTTAATTAAGGTACTAATACAGTTCAAGTGCAAACAATACGACAAAATCATGTTCTACAACATAATAAAATAATTTGATTGTATATCTCAGTAAGAAAGCTAAAAAGCATTGTAATACAAAATTAAACATCAAGGCACAGCATATACATAAGGCAGCTAATTCACTGTCCTTTTCAGATTGGTATTTGAAACACTTTCTGCACAGATTTCTTTCTTACTTTCTGGATTGGATTGTATCCATGCTCACTTTTTATCTTCATAACCTTGGCTGAAAGGTTTGCAGTATTTGATGGATATGGTGGGGAGCATTTGGTATTACTTATTTTCTCAGATTAGGGAAACAGGTAGGAAATGGGTCATTAAAACCAGTAATATTGCTCATAAACATTTCAAGTGATCTATGAAACACACAATACAGCCCCCCATGGCAGGAAAGTTGTAACTAAATGATCTCTGAGATCTCTTCCAAACCAAACAACTTTGTGATTCTGTGATTCTTAAAGAATGAAGAAGCTTTTATTACTCCTTGTTCCATAATCTTTTGGAATATTTTTCATACTGCATGACATACAGATAACAAAAAATCATTTTGATCGGTGCTTGTACAGACAGATAATAACTTTCTGAACTACTGGTGTATTAAAGCTGCATTTATACTTGTAGTTGCTTCAGACAGAGTATCTTAAATCAGCATTGTATGAGCATTTAAGTCTAATAGCAAAGTGCTCATGAAATGTTTTAGTTAAAATTCTCTGATTCTGCTACTGATGACACTGTTCTCATTTGCTCAGTTTTAATGTTTCCTCAAATCCTCTTGTCTTTAAAAGGAACTGTTGCTTTTAGACCTGTCTGTTTTTTTTTTTAATCAAATATTTTGACAGCTACTTTTCTCCCTTCACAATTATGTTAAATTGAAGTGGAAGGCAGAGAGTGTTGACATTAATGGGCTTTCCTTTGAAAGTTTGACTGCTCCCATTGGGAATGAGTGCTAAAGGTCCTCGTAGGAGCCTTCATGCACTTCAGCTCTGCAGAGAAGGGGTGCCCAGACCACACAGCAGCCAGCAACCCTCATCCTGCAGTGGTCACTGTCCATTCTGTTGGCTATTTTTGATGAACTTTTTTTCAGCATTTCACTGGTCTCATTCCACTTGTACTTTTCCACTTGTACTTTTTGTTTTTCAACAAAAACTCTCTTTCCGATTGTAATTTTTGTTTTTCAGCTACATTTTATCTGTAAGCACTCAGGAATATGAAACCTTTTGTTTTCTTACTGTAGCATCCCTAAAAAACAGAAATACAAATAAAAGCAGAGAATATGCAGACATATTATGCAGATATTCTTTTTGGCCATGTTTTCTGGGAAATCACTTAAAACTTCCTCTGTATTACTTAGTCTGCATTCTGCTAAACCAAGACATGTTTTTCCACATTCCTGTATTCTTTATTCTGCCAGTTTTACAATACTGAGAAATTCCTGATGATCAAGTTTCTTCCTCCATTTCCCTGCAGGTACAAGGAATCAAGCCTTTTTGTCATCTAATTATATAATGTTTTTGTCATTTAATTAGAGAATTAATGTAAATCTCACACTAATCCTATTGTTTGCAATATTTGCAATGACTGAGATACTGCTCTTCCATATTTAAGGTTAAATCCCCATTTTCTCCATTCTTGTTTTCTCAGGTCTTCCCTACATAATGCCAACTTGGGCTAATTTGCAGGACACAGGAATCAAATACAGGATTGAAGGTATGGGAAGGCATATGTTTTTCTTGTTTAAATTTAGAGCTACAGGAAGGCAATCACAGTCCTTTTGTGGCTAAAAGTGAGAAATAAAAATTAACTAGAGAGAAAAACCAAAACTCCTGTAGCTAAGGAGAGACACCATATATTATCCCATCAATGTCTCTCTACTCCTTTGTGGTGAAGCAATATTTTTCTTAGTTTTAGTTATGTTTACTTAGAAAGAAAAATATGAAAGGCTTTCGTGAAGTAATAATTTGTTTCAAGGAAATCAACTGTGAACAGGGAAAGATTTTACTTGATAAATAGTTCTTAGTCACTATCCAGTGATGATACTCAGTGGCCCAAGAAGACATTCACAGCAAACTGCTAAGGAGGAGATAATAAAATTCATTCTTTTAGGCAACATTTATCTAAATATTGAGGTTCTCCTATGAAATGTGGGAGGAGCTGGATTATATAAAGATATTAATCTATTAAATGATTAATAACTGTGTCTATACCAACACAATATTTTCTGAATATTACTTATGCAGGAGTAGAATGCTATTTCACTATTTCTGCTTGTAAAAACATAAAAGCTCTTACTGTAGAAACAATCCTGGCATCTCATTTGAAAATTTATATTTTTAAATTTCCTATTGTGTAAACCCAGTATTATATTCCATCTTCTTCAAGCAATTATATTTATGTAAAACATTATTGTAAAAGCAAAGCCTGCATGATAAGGAATAACAAAATGTATGGAATTTTAATTTAAAATTATTGTAATGTAGATAAACAGAGTTATAATAGATAAAATATTGTTATCAATTAGAAATTGTGTTTCATTGTTTCTTTGGTCTTAAGTTTCTGAATATTTCCCACAACTGAAGGGGTTAGGGTTCTTTGGACATGTGGAATGACAAATATTCACAGATCTGCAGGCTTTCCTGAAGGTGGCTCCATTTGATAAAGGTTAAATTAGACAATCCAGGACCAGATCAACCCCAAATTCTCATCAGAATAATTAGTCAGAGGAGGAAAAATCAGAAATAACTGTTCATGTAAAAGGTATGAATAACCCCATAATAATTTCCATAAAATATTTCTGGGATTTAACCAACATGTTCTTGAAATTTATCAACTGAGCAAATATTCCACAAAAAATGGAGAAAACAATCTTTGCCTATTTACAGTGCATGTCTCCATCTCAAGTCTGAACTAAGGACTGTCTTAACTAGTAATTTTCCTTTCTTTTTAATTCTGGCTGCTAAAAAATACAGGTTCATTTGACTGTATCTCATTCATTTGACTGTATCTCATTCACACATAATTGTTTCCAGCCTCAGTGAAATAGAGAACAAAGCATGTTCAGGAGAACGCTTGTTTAATTTCAGGATAGTTCTCAATTCTGCCTCAAATTTCTTCAGCTCAGGATGTGGATGAAAAGATAAAATGTACAAAGCTTCATTTCAAAAGAAATTCTGAAATAGAAAATGGAAGAGGAAATTAACTTTCAGTGTACTTTAGAAGAACTATAGCTTCAAAAACTTTGAAACCCATGGAATATGATTATATTTGTCTGCTAATTAAAAAACAAAAGAAACATTTTTAGTCAAGTTAAATCCAGGTTACTAGTAAATAGCAACTTCCATCTTCATTACCAAATAATTTTTGAATATTAAGGTTCAAAAATTGAATTTAATGGCACAGTGACAAAGGATGAATCATGGAAAAAAATGACATTTTTCCATTGCAGAGGATGAACATTTAAAACTCTAGAAAAGCCTAAGATATGTAGTCAAGGTGTTCTGAAAATCTGTAGAGTTCTAGAAGGTTATCTAAACTAGCATTTGTCTCACAACTCAGGCACAGCATCTTTGAAGCACAATGGATAAATTAAATATTTTCTGTTTGATACATTTTTAGAAAAAAGCTTTAAACCTGCTTTAAGTACTTCAACGTTGTTCAAAGTATCATATGCAATATTTATACATGTTCTGGCTTCCCATCAGCAAGAAATGTCCTGCACATCTCTCCCAAATTACCTTTCTAAAAGTCTGGTCATAAATTAATGATGACACTCTAACCAAGCAGTTCAGCTTGTATGTGCAGAACACTTGCCTATGAAAAAGTGTTTGTCACTAGGAGTTAGACAAATCAGAAAAACAGTAGCCTGGCTCATTGTAGATGGTTAAATATATTTACAGGGCAACAAAATCATAACTTCATCTGCAACAAGGGGCCAGAAAAGAACTTTCTCTGCCCTTCTAAGGACCTTCAAATCTTTAATGTTGACTCCTCTAAGATAAATATTAGATGCTGGCTATTTCTGTCTTCATGTATGCATATACATTGGAATCCAGTATGTAATACATTGAGCACTAATGGTATTTTACCTTTCCAATCAATGTCACATAAAATTCATGGGAAAATATCACAACATTTCACCAGAAGATTAATCACTTCTATATGAAATCCTTCAGAAAAAAATGCCCTTAAAGATTTTTCTGCCTTGAGCTGAAATATGCTACAGGCATATGAGTAGCTATTTAAGTTAAATAAGAATGGATTTTATAGAGTGAAGAAAAGCTTTTTGGTTTCTGGCTTTCAAAACCTAGGGAATAGAGTCCCAAACGTCTTATCTTGCACTCATGAAAGATTCCTTAGAATCCAGTAAGGAAGGAAGTGTCACAGGTGGGGTGAAGAGATGAGAACTAGGAATTAGAGTGTATCATCACAGAAATATTAGTTGTTCTAGCTGTTGGCAAAGCAAGGTAAGAATTAAGAGAAATAAAAAAGGTAGTAGGCTTTCCATGGCACAGAGAGTTTGGAAAGGCTGTGACTTTTAAGCAAATTTTTATAATTTTTTAAAGCAGAAATCTTAGAAAATTCATATTTCACATTTCTCCCCTCTGTAAGCATTTAGGTAAGCTTGGAACACTGCACATGCTTATTTGTGAGCCTGAAGATAGTTTTT